GCCCTTGGGATTTGCAGCGTGTGCTCGGCCAGTGCAGACGCAGGTTTATTTAGAACCCCGTGCCAGCCTCTCACAAGGATTCGGAGGTGGGAAATGGGAAGCTGTCTGCTCTGTGTGACGCGTGTTGATTTATTTCTTGGTTTAATCTCCACTGCAGACACACTACCTCATTTATGGGAAGGGGTTTCAGACGTGGGAATACTCCCCAGCCTATGCCATCCGCTCCTATGCTTACCTGTGGCTCCATGCCTTGCCAGCCTGGTTCCATGCTCGAGTCCTGCAAACCAACAAGGTAAATCAAGTGTGGAACCTGCTTTTGTGGGGAATAAACGTGTGAAAACAACTGCTTTGTTTGTTGTCAGGGAGTTCGTGTTTACAAAACTCTCCTTTGCTGACAAACATCGACCTCCCTGGGAGGATTTAGGAGGGTTTGTGAGTTTTTACAAGCCCGGTTTGTGTCCTGTGCCTTCCTCACACTCCAATCATGTCTCCTAGGTCCTTATCTTCTATTTCCTACGATGCTTCCTGGCCTTCCTTAGCTGCATTTGTGAACTCTACTTCTACAAGTGAGTGTTAGAGCCTGTCTGCAGTGAGTGTTTTGAGTGCCACGCACAGGAAATACACTTTGAAGCTCATGTGTAGATTGGGCTGCTTAGAAGTGAACCTTGAAAATACGTGTTCTCATGATAACTTAATGGAATACTGGTGAGAATTCCACAATTAGGACAAAACTGTGCTCTCAGAGCTGCCACCCACATCTCCACTCCAGCATTTTGCTGACTACACTCATTTTCTCACCGACAGCAGGGTGGGAGTGTTGTAGACTGAGCTCTGCTGGAGGAGAGTCTGGTGCTGTGTTTGCTTTCCATAGTGAATTTTACTGGAACACATTAATTGTTGCTGTGTATAATCCATCTGCCAATGCTGTTTACATCCACTAAAAGCAGTAAATCCTTAACATACAATTATCTTGTCTAAGCTGGGTTAGACTCTGCCTCTTGGTTTGTGGTTTTCAGGCTGTTACCTTGCGTTTTTTTCTGTTGGGAATGATCTGGTTTTGAGGATCTTTTTGGTGTCCGTTTCCCTCTTGCTTCCCCAGGGCTGTGTGCAAGAAGTTTGGGCTGCACGTGAGCAGGCTGATGTTGGCCTTCCTGGTGCTCAGCACGGGGATGTTCTGTGCTTCTGCAGGTAGGTTTGCTTGTAGCAGTGACTGTGACAGTGACCTTGTCCCTGGAAACCAGAGGCAGGGCCAGAGAGAAGAGAAGCCACAGCTCTAACACATCTCTAACATTGTGTTATGGACCTCTAGTCTGTGTTTGTTGTGGTTGTGTTCTGCTGGAGGCGTTTCTCGTGGCAGATGTGATGGAATAAGTGTTGATTCACATTATGTTTTCTGTGTTACATGTTTCAGTTTCCTCTTTGTTTCCTGCTTGTTTCTGTTGCTGCCTCCTGTCTCCTGGCTGTGCCTCTTAAACAGGGTCTTGGCCTGCCTTCCTTGGGCATATTTTAACCTAAGGAAGGAGGCTCATATTTTGGCACTGCCACTTGCCTTTGTGTCCTGTCCCCTCTCCCTGGCTGCACCCCTTTTCCCAGCCACTTGTGTAAAACCCCTGCTGTGGGTATGAAGTGTGAGGAAGCTGTGCTGACCCCTTTCCTCCCTTGTGCTGCAGCTTTCCTGCCCAGCAGTTTCTGCATGTACACCACGGTGGTTGCCATGACTGGCTGGTACATGGACAAGACCTCTGTGGCAGTGCTGGGGGTGGCTGCTGGAGCCCTCCTGGGCTGGCCCTTCAGTGCAGCTCTGGGGTAAGGAAAGGAAAGCTGGGGAGTTTTGCACTTTGCCTGTTTGGGGAGAATACAGGGGTGGAGAGCTGGAGGAAAAAACTCTCAGGGCCTGAGCCTAGTCCGTGCTACAGGCTTCCATAGCCCGAGTTCTTTGCTTTTGGAGGACTTAGGTTGGGAAGATTTCCTGATATTAGTACACTGGGAGGGTAAAGCCTGAGTTGGATGGCTGGATGTGGAGTGGAAGCAGAGGCCAGTGAAGGGATGGTTCTCTCTCAGCTTGCTTTGGAGGGCAGGAGAACCTGCAGTGGGGAAAGCCAAGGTCTCCAGCTGACAGCTGGTCTCTCTTTCAGGCTTCCTATTGCCTTTGACCTGTTGATACTGAAGCAGAGGTGGAAGAGTTTCCTCAACTGGTGTGTGGTGTCCTTGATCCTGTTTTTGGTAAGTGCCTGTAGCAATGCAGAGAGGGAATGGATTGGGCTTGTGACAGGAGGGATGAATTCCTTCAAGAAAATCACGTGGAGCTTTAGTGCAGCCCAGCCAAAAGCTCCTGGCACTTTAACTAACAGCTGCTTCCTTCCAGGTGCCCTTGGTAGTGGTGGACAGCTATTACTATGGGAAGCTGGTGGTTGCACCTCTCAACATTGTTTTATACAATGTCTTCACCCCTCACGGGCCTGATCTCTACGGTGAGTTTAAGATAACAAGCCAAGAAGGGAGTTGGGAGTTTTTCTTGCTGCTGTGACCCCCCCCAGCTCTTGATTGCCAACCCTTTTTCTGGGGCAAAAGCTGCCTGCAAGCTCCACGGGCTGCAGCTCCAGCTTCTGGACACGGGATGTCTCTCTCGAGCTGGGAATCCACAGGACACTGTCGGGTTTCTCCACGCCGTGAGTTGGTTGCTGCTTTTGTTCACTTCCCAGTTCTGCAAACCACCGTGAGGTGTCTCAGTGTCACAGCACAGAGCTGGCAGTGTGTGGCTGCTCAGTGGGCACAGGGGACACCTGTGTGTGTTTGTGAGATCTGATGGAGTTCCTGGCTGTTGTTCCTCACAACCAGGGTGCAGAAACCTTGGAAGAGCGGGTGGCAGTGCAGAATCTGTAGTATTTTTCAGTTCACATTGTGTCTCTGCAGCCCCAAGCCCGTGCTGTGCCTTGGGAATCCCTTTGTTTTTTGGCAGTGTGTGCCCTGGGCTTTGCTGGCCGGTGGGATCTGAGGGTGCCATAAGGCAAATCATCTGCCTGATAACTGTGGGACCCAAATCCCAGCTCTGAGCCTCCATGGCAGTGCTGGGAAGTGCTGTTTGTTTGGGAGCTGCCACTGCACTCAGTTGTCCATGAAGAGCAGGAAAGTATTCCATTTCTTGCAGGGGCTGGGGGAGACCTCGGGGTGCAGGGTCCCTGCATCATCCCTGTCCTCTGAGCCCAGTCTGAGCTGTTCCAGGAGGGATTCAGCAGAGCTCAGCAGCAGCAGCAAGGCTCTCTCTGGCAGTGCCCTGCAGCCACGTTTGCTGGTTCATTGGCAGGGCTGTTCTGGGTGGTGCTGAGTGGTGATTTGTCACTTGTGCTGTGGCACAGCAGGGCAGCAGCTGCCTTGCCGCGGTTCCTCCCCTCTGCAGGAGGGCTCTGAAGGCTGTTGCTGTGAGTTTTCTATAAGTAAACTCCAGGCCCTGTCTCTCTGATAGGTTTTGGCGTGGGCCTGTGCCTGACCTTTTCCACACTGGTGCATGAGTTGTTTCCAGAAGCCTCCAGGGACCAATCTGTTCTGAAGTGTTTTATTCATAGTGACATTCATATAACATCCTCAGGCTAGTAAAAGAGCCTGCTTGAAATTGCTCTTTAATGCA